TCCTAGCGTAAAATCTTTAGTATCTCCCTGTCGCTTAGAAAATGAAACCCAAACTCCTTCATATGCCTAAAAAACCCTTCAACTTCCTGCGTTAAACCACCACCCCACACACCTCAGCTAAACCGTACAATTCCATATTCCTAACACATTATAGTCATGTGTCGCTTAACGATGGGTCTCCGTTATGAGGAATGCGTCGTTAGACGATTTCGTCATTCTGTGAACATCGAAGAGTGTACTTACACAAACCTAGATGGTATAGCCTACTACGCGCCTAGACTGTGTGGTACTAATCTTATGGGACCACTGGCATCTATGCAGTCCATAGTTGACTGAAACGTTATGTGGCCCATGACTGTATAACATTTAACACTTCCTACCTTTAAAAATGCATTCACTTTTCTTAGAATGCCCTTTGTCCTCCCCATCTTGATGAGTTTTTCCCATACATTATTCAGCTTACATGTTACATGCCTAGCCAGATGCTTATAGTCTGGGTTAGGTCTCCCTCCAGCTTTCGAAGCATTTTGTGTGTTTGGCTGTTTCAGCACCACGGTCCATGGTCCTATCTCTGCATCTCTGAATCTCCTCCCCAGCCCCCAGTAATACTGTGATCTCATCAAAGTCAGGGACTCTGTTTTAGTTTCTTTCTCTCCCCACTTCTAACATAATGGCAGGGAGTAATTGTGGAAAACTTCAGGGATATACAATTTTATAAAGTCCTTATAGTAACACTGTTCATTTTGCTGTTAGCATCTCACTGTGCCGATGGGGAAACAGGAGCTCAGAGAGGTTGAATAACCTGCCCAAGGTCACAGTTATATGAAGGGATTTGAACCCTTACTTTCACACTCTAAAGCTTATATGTGTTTTCTTATACTTCATGCTGACAATACCAAGCCCAGCATTTGAGAGTTGGGCTTAAAACAGGGACTTCTGTATTTTCAGTCTGTTTTGTTACTGTATTATAGAAACCCCGTGATATAAAATAATTAAATGAGATTAGTTATGGGCCGGCCCCGTGGCTTAGTGGTTAAGTGAGCGCGCTCCACTGCTGGTGGCCCGGGTTCGGATCCCGGGCGCGCACCGACGCGCAGCTTCTCCGGCCGTGCTGGGGCCACATCCCACATACAGCAACTAGAAGGATGTGCAGCTATGACACACAACTATCTACTGGGGCTTTGGGGGGAAAAAATAAATAAAAATAAAATCTTTAAAAAAAAAAAAATGAGATTAGTTCTTAGGTTGGGTTCCCTGAGAAACAGACTCAGAGATTTTCATGCAGATTTGTTAGGAAGTGCCCTCAGGAACTGCACCTGCGAGGGATGGAGGCAGCGGGTTGGGCAGAGGGAGAAGCTGAAGTGCAGTGCAGCTGCAGCAAAGGTGCAGCCATCCCCAGGGGACTTCTAGAGTTGGGATGACCCCTCAGAGTTATATCAGCTTGAGGCAAGGGCCAGTCATTGATGCTGGCTTCCATGAGAGAGCGGCGTAACCTTAGGTAAGTCAGCACGCCCTTGAGCTGAGGGCAAGCCCAGCGAGGAATTCAGGGGTAATTGTTAATAGCCTGTGCTCCCCTAAACAGGAGGATCACCACCTTGGTCCTGAAGAGGGAAGGGACCTGCACCCGCACCACAACGTCCACTATAGGTAGAATCTGCAAAAGTGGTTTTATAAAAAACTAAATGCTTTATCGTTTTGATGAAATTTTCTAAAAGGAATTAAAAAGATAGAATTCTGTGTAAGTTCAGAGTAAGCCCAGACTACAAAATGCGAAATAATTTTCTTCTTATCCTTTTATTTTCATGAAGATTTGTTTAATGCCAACATTCTAAAAGTGTTACTTTAAAAAATTCTTCCAATTGTTACCATTTATGCAAGATGCATGGTAGAGAAATAAGTAAAATTTCCATTTCTTTCAATGCACACAATTTGATCCAGATATGAAGCCTCCACTTATTAAAAAAATGTAATAGGGAGACTACACTAAGTTTATATTTTGCACTTTTTTTTTTTTTTTGGTGAGGAAGATTGGCCCTGGGCTAACATCTGTTGCCAATCTTCCTCTTTTGTTGCGGAGGAATGTTGGCTGTAACACCTGTGCCCATCTTCCTCTATTTTGTATGGGATGCCTGCCACAGCACGGCTTGATGAGCGGTGTGTCAGTCCGCGCCTGGAATTCAAACCTGCGAACCCTGGGCCACCAAAGTGGAGTGCACCAACTTAACCACTGTGCCACCAGGCCAGCCCCTATTTTGCGTTTTCTAAATGTTTTTCAATAAACATGTATTAACTTTTACAATTGGGGGGAAGAAACATGACATTTTAAACCAGGACATTTGGAAGAAGGGCAGTACTGTAATCAAGTTTTGAATATAATTAGAGGCAAATTCCAAAATCAGAAAATTGAACATGCTTGGGAAACTTATAATTTCTCTAAAAGCAGTATTTAATATTTAATCTGGGCCGGCCCCGTGGCTTAGTGGTTAAGTGCGTGCGCTCTGCTGCCGGCGGCCCGGGTTCGGATCCCGGGTGCGCACCGAGGCACCACTCCTCCAGCCATGCTGAGGCCGCGTCCCACATACAGCAACTAGAAGGATGTGCAGCTATGACAGACAACTATGTACTGGGGCTTTGGGGAAAAATAAATAAATAAAATCTTTAAAAAAAAAAAAAATATTTAATCTAAGCTTAAAATCCATTAAAGAAATCTACTTATAAATTTGAAAAATGAAAGGAATAACCATCATTTGCAGCAGGGTAAACAAATCATTATCTAAGAATGGCAGTTCTTTCCCTTCCTGTCATGTGTAAGGGGAAACATAATCATCAGAGTCACAGAAACAAGAAACTATAAATAGTAAGATCGAATGTTTGGCGCATAGTCCGACCCTGATTTTCCTAGCCTCATCCTATCCTGGCTTATCCAGTGAGCCGTTCTCATTTTAGGCATTGAAATTGTTTAACTTTTTATTTTGAACTAATTTCAGTCCTTCAGAAAAGTTGCAAAAGTAAAAGTTTCCATATATCCCTCACGCAGCCTCCCCTAATGTTAACATGTTGCATGACCATAGTACAATTATTAGAATCAAGAAGTTAACGTTGGTACAGTATTATTACCTACACTGAAGATTTATTTGAAGTTTTTTACGCTATTTTCCTTTTTCTCTTCCAAGATCCCACTTTCATTTAGTCATTATTTCTCCTTAGTCTCTTCCAATCTTTGACAGTTACTCAGTCTTCCCTTGTTTTTCATGAACTTGATACTTTTGAATAGACTTGGGTCTGTCTGATGTTTTCTCATGATTGGAATAAAGTTATACATTTTTGGCAAAATTACCATGGAAATGATGTTGTGTCCTCTGTACATCGTCTCAAGGGGTTAATGATGTTGATATGTTTTATTACTGGTAATGGCAACCTTGATCACTTGGTTAAGGTGGTGTCTGCTGGGTTTCTTACCTGTAAAATAACTATCTTTCCCTTTGTAGTTAATAAATATCTTCAAGGAGATTCTTTGAGACTAGGCAAATCCTATTTCACCTCAGACTTTCACCCATTAATTTTGGCATCCATCAGATGATTTTGTTTGCAACAGTTATTACTGTGGTATTTGCCTAATGATGATTTTCTTTTTCTTCTTTCCTTCTATATTCATTGGAATTCTACTATAAGGAAGAACGGCCCTTTTTCCGCAAATTTATGTATTTATTTGATTTATTTATTTATATCAGTATGGACTTATGAATATTTATTTTATTCTATGGGTTAAAATTCAGTATCTTCGTTGTTTTGTTGCTCAGATTGTTTCAGTTTTGGCCATTAGGAGCTTTTTCTGGTTGACCCATGTATTCTTTTGTGCACTTCCTCACTTTTTGGCATCACAAGATGTTCTAGGTTCATCTTGTGTGTTCCCAGCTCCAGTCCTGGAATCAACTACTTCTCCAAGGAACCGTGGATGCTTTTTTTGGAGAAAATGGTGTGTAGAACCAAGATCTGCCTGCTAGATGTGCTCATTCCTCCAGGGGCACCATTGCTTCGAGGCCCTTTCAAGCAGAAAGAGCTGGGAAATATGTTTGTATTCCATTTCGGATTCTCTCGTATCTGGCTGCTTTTGTTTGTGGGATATGTGAAGGGTATGTGACGTATCATTGTGGTTCTCAGGGTTAGAGCTACACGACAAGACAGACTCAGAGAAGTGTCACTCCCTCCTCTTCCCTGCTTCCCCAGTGCTATTCCTTTTTTCCACCTGTACTCTATTTCTATAGTTTCTAGTTTATCCTTCCTGTGTTTTGCACAAATGAACAGATACATATGTATATTTTCTTATATCCCCTTCTTTCTTGTATGAAGGCTAACAAACTGTAGTCTTTCTTTTGTGCTTTCCTTTTTTCACTTAACACTATGTTTGGAAATCACTTCATTGTGATCTTCCTCATTCTTTTGTAAAGCTGCATAGTACACCATTGTATGGATGTACCATAGTTTATCCAACTAGTCTCCTGAGTATGAGCTAATATACGTTGCTTTCAATAGTTTATAATTACAAACAATGCTTCAGTGAATAACCTCATACACCAAGTGTTTTCATGAACTTTGTTCATACGTATTTTACTGTTATTGGAAATATATTTTCAGAGTTGAGTACTAGAAGTGGGATTGCCAAGTGGAAAGGTAAGTGCATGTGTTGCTTTGCTAGGTATTACCAAAGTTCTCTCCAGAGGGCTGCACAAATCTGTATTCCCACCTCAGTGTGTGAGTGTGCCTGCTTCCCCGTGGCCTCAGTAACAGAATGTGTTGTCATATTGGCATTGAAATTTTGGCACTATAAGCAACAGGTCATTTTGGAAATCCTGAGCTTTCTCTAAATTGAGTTATTTTGATTTGTTTTTACCATTAGCATACTACAACAAAGGGTAGAGTAGAGGTTCCTTGCATTTTTAAATTTATCTGACACATATATAATTAAGTGGGGTTTTGGTTTTTGTTTTTCTTCATTTTAGGTCTTGCTCCTTTGGTCTATTTGTCCGATGAATGCCATAATTTATTGGCAATAAAGTTTTGGGTAGATCTTAATGAAGACATTATTAAACCTCACATGTTAATTGCTGCGAGCAACCTTCAGTGGCGACCAGAATCCAAATCAGGAATTCCTACTTTATTTGCTGGAGATTTTTCCATGTTTTCTGCCAATCCAAAGGAGGGCCATTTTCAAGATACATTCCACAAAATGAAAAGTACTATTGAGGTAAAATTAATTTTGAGCATTACCACACATTTTGGTATTTTCCTATTTTGACAGTCAAATAGCAAAGGAAATGGCAGCTTTTATGAAAATTAGATAGTTGAGATATAGTGTAAGGTGAGGTTGCATCATATATTAATTGCTCGTGAACCTGAGGAGATGAGGGGATGGTAGCTACCAGGGACAAAAGAATGATTTGAAGGGAAGTGAGTTAGAAATTTTGAGAAGGAGGTTCGGCACAACAGACCGTGTAGGCAAACTGGAAATTGGTAACAAGGATAATGAGTTACCCAGGGCTCATAGTAGTTGACAGAGTGATTAGTTAATAATATGCAGACTCCAAATTTACATTTTCAATTCCATATCTGGTATTTTATAAAGTTTATACCTGTTTTTGACTTGAAATAATCCTAAACAGAACGCTAAAATTATTTTCCCTGGATCATTTATGCATTTTATGCTTAAATGTATATATACATAATATAATAATATTAGCTAAAGTTTACTGGCTGTCAGGTTTTGTTCTAAGCTTGTCTCATTTCATTCTCCCACAAACCGTATAAGGTAGAGAACTGTTTTTCCATTTTATCAATGAGAAACAGGTTAAGTCACACAGCCAAATCGCTAGAACCAGAATTCATACTTAAGCCTTCTGAATTCAGAGCCCAGACTATCAACTACAATGCAATGCTGCCTTCCAATAAAATTTTGGATTTTATAAATTGCTAACTGGTAAAGAATCTACAAAAGATAAGCCTCTTAGTTCTGTAATTTAATATTTGAAATGTATGTGATTCAGAATTTATATAAATAAAATTATATTTTAAAAGCATTAGAGTAGCTGGCTGTATAAAGGAAGTTTGTGTAATATTTTACCTAAAGACTCAACACACATAGTGAAGAATAACACCCTGATTTTTCTGGTTTCTAAATAGGGAATAGATTGGGGGATACATTCATTGTTTGGCTCCCATACAGAGTACCTGAGGTTTACATCCCAGGTTTTCTCTGAGACCATTCAAGGGCAGTTCAGAGACAACTAACTGTCATTTACATAGCATTTTAAAGTTTTACAAAATATTTTCATGACTTAGGTTAAACCATATGAAATTGCTGGTATCTGACCATTTGTAATTTCTGAAACAAGTTTCATGTGGTTTAACCTGTACATTATTTCAGTTAATTGTTGGAACAGATGTGAGGCAGTTCTCTCATTTTACTCCTAACCCACCGAGTCCTCTTTAGATGTTTGATGATTTACAGCTATTAGGTAGTGAACAGAGTAGAATGTGAGCCCCAGTCTTCCAACTCCAAATCCAGTATCATACGATACCTTGCTAATTACACGAGATAGTTAGAAAGATCTCTTCCATGTCTTTCCTTCCCTGACATATGCACACATACTCCCTCTCTCCCTCTCTCCTCCAACAACTAAGTTCCCTTAAATCACTGATGTTGGTTTTCCATTTGTGCAGTGGCATATTGTTTAGCAGTTGCTATCAAATTTTGAGTGTTTCATATTTTTTTTTGGTCTGAATTTTTATTTCTGGTTTTAAAGGTAACACATACTGAAAACATGAATGTGTAGGTTTGCATTTTACAAAGCAGCTTTTCCTATTTATTTTCTTAGAATATTGATATATTTTGCAATGACGCAGAAAACAAGCTTATGCATATACTTAATGCAGATGATCCCAAGTGGTCCTCCCCAACTAAAGGCTGTATTTCAGAGCCACACACTGCTGAAACAGTCCTTGGTACAGGAAACAAGTTTCTGGTAAGTTAATGGAAATTTAAGGAATTTTATAAATATTATATATGGAGACAACTGTATATTCTGGTGTATACCTAGTAAACATGATAAAATGTAATTAAACTTAATTAGAAAGTGTGGTTAATTATTATATGGCTCCTATAGATATAGGTTATCTGTTTATTGAAGCCAGAATGTAATGCTCTTTGGGGGCAAATTTTACAAACAGGTGCTTTCATTTTTAGCATTCCAAGTACATGTGATTGAAAAGTCTTTTTGCCTATGTCTTTTCACTAGGACTATTCGATACAATTAGGGTTGTTTCTAAGCTCTGTTTGATTTAACTTTTTTTATTTATTTTTTGTGTGTGAGAAAGATTAGCCCTGAGCTAACTCCAGTGCCAATCCTCCTCTTTTCCTGAGGAGGGTTGGCCCTAAGTTCTGTGCCCATCTTCCTCTATTTTATACGTGGGATGCCTGCCACAGCATGGCTTGATAAGAACCTGTGAACCCCAGGCCACTGAAGCAGAGCAAACTTAACCACTACACCCCCCCCCCCGATTTAACTCTTCAAATCACAATAAATGCAAATCAAGTTCAAGTCTGTAATGTTGGCTAATGACTAATTCTTAAGTAGCTAACACTTGCTAATTGTGTCTATATTAACTCATTATCTTCAAAACAACCCTATGAGATAAAAATTATTATCTCCACTTTACAGATGAGGAAACTATGGCATACAGAGGTTAACCAATTGCCTAAAGTCACAAAGCTAGAAAAGTAGGTATTAGAACCCAGGCAGTCTGTGTTTTTAAGGTGGTTTTAAGATGCTTATCTTTGTTTAACTTGTTAATAATAAAAAAGAAAAGATTAAAGCGTAAGTTATGTCCCCTGCTTCCTTTTTTTTGGCTTTTACTATGATTAGTCTTCATCTTTCTTCCTTTTCATGTCTCTTTTTTTTTTTTTTTTTTGGTGAGGAAGACTGGCCCTGAGCTAACATCTATTGCCAGTCTTCCTCTTTTTCCTAAGGAAGATTGGCCCTGAACTAACATCCTTGCCCATCTTCCTCTATTTTGTATGTGGGATGCTGCCACAGCATGGCTTAATGTGCGGTGCATAAGTCTGTGCCCACGACCTGAAGCTGTGAACTCCAGGCCGCCGAAGCAGAGCGTGCGAACTTAACCACTACACAACCGGGCCGGCCCCTCCTGTCATTTGTATATCCTCTTATACAAAATTATTTCCTTCTGGAATAAGAATAATAATACGACTCTCTCTTGAAATCACCTGACCCATTGGCCATTAGGCGAGTGAGAATGTGTGTTTAAATATTTCTAATGAAAAGCTAACTTGATTTTTTTTTTTACATATTAGCACATAATTATATGGGTTTTTTTGTTGTTGTTGTTAGATGTCTTCTCCCAACAGTGAGATGAATTATCAAAGTCCATTATCACTTTGTAAGCCAAAAGGGAAGTCTGTTTCCACACCTGTATCAGCCCCAGTGACTTCCAAGTCTTGTAAAGGGGAGAAAGAGATTGATGACCCAAAGAACTGCAAAAAGAGAAAAGCTTTGGATTTCTTGAGTAGACTGCCTTTACCTCCACCTGTTAGTCCCATTTGTACATTTGTTTCTCCAGCTGCACAGAAGGCGTTTCAGCCGCCACGGAGTTGTGGCACCAAATATGAAACACCTATGAAAAAAAAAGAATTGAATTCTCCTCAGATGACTCCACTTAAAAAATTTAATGACATTCCTCTTTTGGAAAGTGATTCAATAGCTGATGAAGAACTTGCATTGATAAATACCCAAGCCCTTTTGTCTGGTTCAGCAGGAGAAAATCAACTTATGTCTATCAGTGAGTCCACTAGGACTGCTCCCACCCGTTCAAAAGATTGTCTTGGACTGAAAAGGCATTATTCTACATCTGTGGTCGAAGAACAAGAGCATTCCCAAGTCAGTACCAAAGAATGTGAGACTAACATGCAGGACACAAGTACAATAAAAAATATAACTAAGAGACTGCAAAGGCGACAAAAACCAAAATGACAGTAAATTAGTTATTGACTCTTAACCTTTCCACTTTGTGTAACATACACAGTTTCAAACTACACATCAGTATTTGCATAATGAGAAAAGAAATGAAATAGTTCCAAGTTCACCTAAGTGCCTGTATATCACAGGAATGCTCTTTGCCTGCTTCTCTATTGATACACTTTTATTTCAGTTACATATCTTAAAACTGACTGTATATTTATTAACTAATCAAGAAAAAAAATCTTGCAATCTTTATGACTGGATTGGATCATTAGAAGTATTTCACAAATGAAGTAAACACCTTTCTCTTTTAGATTGTGTCCAAATTAAATGAAACTGGGTTTCTAAGTACAGTTATTTTGACTCACATAATTCCCTTTAGTTCCTGTTTTAGGTTTTTTGGGGTCTTTTTAGAGATAACTCACTATGACCCAGTTTTCCTTAATGCATGTGTTGGTTCTACTATAATTCTATCCTGATCAAAAGTCAGGATGAATAAGATTTTACAGTGGTGTTTTCTTTTGACCAATTCTTCATCCTTAAGTCAGCATGACTACAAGAAAAATAGAACCCTCAGTATAATTCTTTTTTATGATTCCAATGTGATCTCTGAAATTACTTCAATTAAAAATTCAAATACTTGAACTCAGAAGCAGATTTCAGTGTTAATTTTGTTTTTTTTAACAAAATGATCATCTGGACTGCAACTTAAGAGAAAATCTTTCAAATTGGCACTGATTCTACTTGCTTTATTTCTAGCCCTATCACATGACTCAGCAGGTACTCCCTTTTAAACCTACTTTTCTCTAACCACCAAGGCGGAAGATGACAGTTCAATATCAACAAGTAAGATGATATTTGTTACTTTCTTATGTTTAATAAAGAGAGAAAGCGGTTCTAATTAGGAGCTAATGGCCTGGAGAAGCTCTTAAATCAGGTCTTTTAATATGTCTTAAATTTATATATAATATGTTTTCAAATCTAATTATAAATACATTTCAAAGACAAGAATAAATCCGTGTGTGTGTGTGTGTGTCTGTGTGTGTGTCTGTATCTGTGTCTGTGTCTGTGTAAGATCGGCCCTGAGCTAACATCTGCCAATCCTCCTCGTTTTGCTGAGGAAGACTGGCCCTGGGCTAACATCCGTGCCCATCTTCCTCCACTTTATATGGGACGCCGCCACAGCATGGCTTGACAAGCATTGCGTCAGTGCACGCCCGGGATCCAAACCTGCGGGAACCCCAGGCCACCGCAGCAGAGCACGCGCACTTTGCTTGTGCCACTGGGCTGGCCCCAAGAATAAATCCTTTTAAAAGGCAATTTGTTTCCTTCCATAACTGTGATCCATATTTTTTTCTCTAAAAATCAGTAACATAATAAATAGTCCATTCTGCTATTCTTTTTAACTTAAGTGTTCTGCCAGTCTTATTAATGAGATTTAAGTTTTGTTCATAAAACAATTTGGTCTTCACATCTTAATCATTTTTCTAGTGATCCACACTAGAACAAGGAATAAAACTTGAGTCTCAGGTGAACAGAAAGAATGATAAGAAGATTTTAACTTTTTTTTTAATCTTGGAAAAACTTCACTGCTGTTACCTTCTCCATTCTTCATTACCATTTAAACTACCCATTATAGAGAGATCTAATGCACACACCCTGTTTATAAATTGTAAATAAATAATATAGCCAAATAATTTGCTATATGAGCAAAGTATGAAGCTTGAGTATATAAGGATATTATTACCCCAAAAAAGTGACAATTTAATGATTACAAAGTCAACAATGTACACTACATGATAGGGGATAAATAGTACAAGCAATTTTTGTTACTTATTCAACAATCACTAAATGAGAGCATATTGTGTATATTAAGTACTATGCCAACTCTATGAATGATGCAAACAATAATACATGAAACAAGTCAATGTTGAGTGTTCAAAAAGTTATATAAATCAGGAGCCATGGGATTTGAGAGAAAAAATGAATCACTTCTAGCTGGGATAAATAAAGTTGGCAGCATTTAATCAATTATTTTTATGTTTCCAAACGAGGTACTTCAGGAGTCCCATAGGAAAAAACCAGCAAATAGACCAGGAGACTGTTCTTCTAACCTCTGTACAAGCTGTGGCTCTATAATCTGGGGCCACGTCTCCATAGCGGGCACTCAACCCAAGTGATCCAGAAGCCCTATGCAGAGAGCCAGACGTCAATCAGGAGGGCTTGAATTCTGACCCTTTTGGCAACTCCTGTGGAATCATAGTAAGGTCACTCCCAGTATGGACTGACACTTCTCCCCTCTACTATCCTAAATGAGTCAAGCCATACAGATTGAGCGAGTTCTGCAATAACCATATTTACTAGGATACTCAGGATTACCTGAGCTCGGGAAACAGGAGTATTGTTATGTGGATTATCATTATTATTAGATTATTATGTGTTGTGCTTGGAAGCATAGAATTTAGCAAAACTATAATACTTTAGATTCATTCAAATTCACTAAATTTTAGTTTTATCAGCCAAAGTTTGTTACTCAAAGGAGACAGCAATTTTTAAAATGTTAATGAAAAAATTCCAGATGCATTGCTAGTAGTTGTCAAGATGCTGAGTAGATTTCAATAGTGTCAGATAATGGAATGTTAAAGTAATATAGTCTTTCTGATTTGCACAGATCAAATTTATATAAGTAAAATATAAAGTTGCTTTTGTCTTTAGTTTTATGTCTCCTATTTATTAAAGAAGACTGGTAAATAAGTTTATGATATAGAAAACTGGCTCCTTTGGTAGAATTCTGTGGGATTTAGGTAATTAACTTTTGTTGAACTGAAAAAAAAAAAGCTTAGATGTATAATTTTTAATTAAAATTATAAGTAAAAGCACCATTATATAGGACACTTAAAATAATACTTCACAGAACATTAGAAAGAAGCTGTTGGCCAACAAGAAATAAAGCACACATCCTGCATGATCTTGTCTGTCATGGTCTCACACCAAATTAATCTGATTCCAACCTGTTGAGATTTAATTTGGATTCATAAATTCAGTATTGGGGGCCGGCCCCGTGGCTTAGCAGTTAAGTGCACGTGCTCCGCTACTGGCAGCCTGGGTTCGGGTCCTGTGCGCGCACCGACGTACCGCTTCTCCGGCCATGCAGAGGCCGCGTCCCACATACAGCAACTGGAAGGATGTGCAACTATGACATACAACTATCTACTGTGGCTTTGGGGAAAAAAAAAAAAAGAGGAGGATTAGCATGGATGTTAGCTCAGGGCTGATCTGCCTCACAAAAAAATAAATAAATAAAAAATAAATTCAGTACTGGTATAAGAAAGACATTCCAGAGTTGTGGTAGAACTTTATTGTCTTAAAAAAATGCCACATAAAACACTGTGCCTCTTACACTGAGCCTGACTTAACATCTCCCTGTGTGAGCTGTATCCTGGGATGCTTGACTCCTTGCACTCCCAAACATTTGGGCTGCCAAGTAATTACGTTTATAGGCATAATTTTTAAAATTGCTTACTTATTCCTTTTAAAAATTGGTGTTTTATAAAGGCAAACTTGTTTTATTTACACTATTAGCACAATAGCCAAAGTTATTCAGGTTTAATCCTGTTCTATAAAGTGGTAGTTAAAATGTGACTTTAAATAATGACACTGATTTTCCTCAGCAGCTTGTATATTAAGAAGGATTCAACAGACATTTTTAACAATGATACATCACTAGAATAAAGGAACAATTTCCCAAAGTGTCTACTTTGAAGGACACTATTCCCGTAGATGTATACGTACTAGCATATTCATTTTAAAAGAAAATCAGTATCATCATTACAGACACACCTCTCACCTTTTTGGGTACAAAGATTATCAAAGCAGCTACAGCACTAAAGCCTTTCCTGCTGCCCACTTCTCCCCCACCTTGCCAACTTTCCTGATGGAGATGAATTTCTTGAAAAAATAGATTACTTCAGAGAAATGGTCCTGAAGCTTATATATATTATAAACACTTTATTTCGTGTATGAACCTATGTGACTGAGTATGTTCTTGGGTATGTTCTCAAATTCCAGTTGCGAATTAACTCTTTCCCTAGAGAAAGTGACTTTGTTTAATCAAATCTGCAGAATTCCCAGCATCAGACCATGCACATAGGCTCACTTGAACAAATGCTTGTTGAAGATGAATATGACAACTTCTGCTCAAAAACTTTCAGGTTCGACTATTTACACTGGAATTAGAGCACTGACTAAAACTGAACGAAGAATAAATACCAAAAGTTGATGTAAAAACTGATTTAGGAAAATCCTGAATGGCTGTCAGATAGGCCTCTAATATCCATGGTGACAGCCACCCCTTCTGTTGAAGGAGCTCTCGTTTGTGAAGCCGCCATGAGCTCTCCGGTTTGGAAACTCCGCGTAGGTGTTCCAGTATCCTGCACCGTTGGAAGGGGATGCGTGATTCCTGTCCTGGTTTCTGTTCATTCTGCTTGGTTTTTCTGCATGCAGCACACTGTGAAAGGTAACATCGTGTTCATACCGTTCTTTCATTCGGTGTATTTTTTCTCTTGGGACTCCATGAATGTTTCTTCTACGTGGAAAAAAAATGCAAACATTTAGTTAAGGCAGTATATCAAAATGAGCTACCTGTATTTTACAAGTCCTGTGTTATTACATAGATACACACTCCCTATTCTCAGCATTTAACTCTGACAAAAGCATAACATCTTGTTAAGCAATTACCTTTCAGGCTCCACTCCTGTTTTTCATGCTCCCTGCACACCCCCAGACTACTCTAAGGCTGGCAAGGAGCTAAAGCTTCAGAAATGTGTCGTTTCTGGAAATCTCAACTCTGTGCTTCAAGACGTAAAAGAACACCATGAGATCTTTTTATTATATATTTGCCTATTAGTCATGCATTTATCTATCATCAATTTATGTCAACCAGTCCTAGATACTTCTAGATGCTTATTAAAACAATCTTCTAAAATTCTAGTGGGCATAAGAATCAACTGGGGATACAGTTAGAAATGTAATTAGCAGATATTCCAACCATGGATTTTAACAACCACCTCAGGCAATTCTGATGGGGGTGGTCCACAACCCACTTTGGAAACACTATCTGCTTGTTATCGTAAGATGAATTAGCTTGATTCCTAAAAAGTAAATTCTGATCTCACAGCTGACTATAAATCATTGACATTATCAAATAACACAGATAGTGAATATCAGAACCCATGCATTCAATCAACAAGTTAGTATTATTTGGACATTTATTGCTTTATAAATTAGAAGCAGCATCTAGACCATAAATGAACCACTAACCGTTCAACATCTAAAGATCTTTATTTAGCCTAAATGCAGAAACACCACTGACATGTGCAATCCCATGCAGAGGAAAGTGCTTTCAAATGCTCATTAACGAAGAAGGATTTTAGCAGAACATTAAATGTGTCCTTTTAAAGGACCAAGTCCAAGCCAAGATTTTAGCTTTTAGCCTTTAGCATTATATTAGAAAACTGACCCAAAACTAAAGTCTTCACATTAATAATTCCAAAGTTATCAATTTCCAAGAATTACCATTTCTGGACTGAAAACTACCATGTCCATTTCCAGCCTGAAAAGATTCTTTTGTTCGGTCTGAAATACCTGAAAATAGCAGGATACATAATGAGGAACTAGAAAAACAAAGAAGTACCTTGCTAACTCTGGAACGTTGAATTTCCAGCGAGTGTCAGGTTCTCGGAATATAACTTCATAGTTATTTTCAAGTGCCTGATTTTTCAAAAGTACATAAAACATTGAAGACATGGTATGTATGTTTGGGAATGTTTATGCTGCCATTTAACATTTACTATAAATCTTTTCTAATTTCCTTTTGTTTTACCAGTAATCCAATGCCTTAGTTTATCTTAGTAAATACAGCTGGTTCATTTCCATACTTAGCCACTCTCAGATTATATTATGGTTCCCAAAGATAAATTTTGGACAATTTTATCTACTATGCAGGAAAATTATAAAAGTTCTTTGCTTTGGACATTTTTAAAAATAATAGCTGAACTAGTTTAAAATGTCCTGTCCACAGGTATGAGCAATGAACTCTATGGCTTCTCAAAGTCCCGTTTATGATTATCACAGATCTACTTCTGTCCAATGCCTCGTTCTATTCCTCAAGCCTTGGCTTAGAAAGTGCAAGTGCCATAGGAACAGACCTTATGAAATAAGTGATTTCCACATACTTTACCTACCCTGCCCTCCAAAAGCAGCTCTCCCTGCTATGCAATACACATGGCTCAGTGCCCTGTGCCCCGTTTCCTTGAGTTTAGACAGCTATTACAGTTTCCATATAAACATCCAAATAGTTTTTCCATACATAAATTACTACTTTTTTTTTCAAACTGAACTTTCTATTATCACTATTATTTGTTGTGTTATAAAATACAGAATGAAAAGAGCCAAGCAAAAAGATTTCCTCTTCATTCTTTAGATGAACACTTCTAATTAAGGAAGGATTCAAATATCCTATATGGAAATTATCTAATTTCTGGGTCTTACTAATAGCTGTGGATGGCTGAAAAAGATTGTGCATATCCAGAACATACAAAATAAACAGCACATTGACTTCCCTTCAGCCACTCTCAGTTAACCCTGCTCTTGGGTTTGACTTAGGCTGTAATGAAGTGCACCCTTCACGTCCCTATTCATTTCTCTCCGTGAACTGACGTAACCTCAGCACTGATGCGCCTTCTTTCCTACATTCACCAAAGTCCCACGATCCAGGCCTAAGTCAAACTGATGAAAGTACAGTTAGAGAGAAACACACCTGTGTCTAAGCTATTTTGCCCAAAATTTTAAAAGAAGCCTAAAAATAGACTGCCATGAGCCCAGTTTTGGAGATATTCACTTTACAGTGAACCAGGTGGGGATTACATGTGACAAAAGTAGAATACTCTGCTGTCTTCTTCCTGCCCCTGTGTGTTTCTGGATCTTTAATCCTTTCTATACCCAATAGGGAATGAAAACTTATTAGCATAAGAGATGAAATATGTCTGAAAAAAGATCAGACAAAATTTCAAAATTAAAGAAAAATGTGCATACTGTTTTATTCATCTACTGTTCTTTTCTATTAATTCTGACAATAGAGAATTGAGTTATCTTTATATGTGTATTTATATTTGTATTCTAGTCCTAAATCTGTTTTTAAACTAAAGAGTTCTGTTCTGGAACTTCCCTGCAGCAACACTACACAGTACTGAAATCCTTGGCTTCCGAGGACAGACTGTCCTGTTAACATGATCTACAACTCTGTGGGTAGCACCATCTAGACCCATATTTCTCTGCAAGTTTCAGCGGGTGCTCCTATGTACACCTTCCCTCAGGAAAACCACCAAGACAGAAAAGCTATCAAGAATTCAGACCAAGGACCATTTAAAAATTGTACTCTGAGATATTAGTATCTCAGCAAATTTCAGCCATTGAACAGCAGAGAAACACTAAAATAAAACCTCTTTACCTACTCCCTGAGAGAACCACTGTTAATAAATATGAGATCATGGGAGATGAGAAAAGAGGAAAGAACAAATGTTAAAACTTTCTCACAAAATGTCCATAACTGAAAATTCAGAATGATACTTCTTCCTACCATGACTGCATAGGGCTTCATTTCCCAGGCGTGGAGGTTGGTATTATCAATAATAATAGGGGATATGCCATTCCTCATTGCTTTTCTTGCTGCAACACAATGTTATATAACAGTGAACAACACGCAACAATCAGAGAGAAGGGTAAGCGTACTCCATATTTTGTTATTTTTATTACAGGATGTCCTCATCACACAACTTTAATGCCACTATTTCAGAACCCATTAGCAATAATTTTCCTTTTCCTGGAATCTAGGGAGGTCATGCTCTGGCGTTCTGTTTGGGGAAAAAAAATGGCAGAAATTTTTATTAAACTCCTTTAATAATACTTATTCATTCTGCAGCAGCTACAATCTATGTGCACAACAGGATTTCCCAGGAGTTTGGAAGGGAATTGATCACCTCTTTTCTGGTTCCATTCATGAGCTTCCTCCAGGAAGTCAGGATTGAACTCATAGGCACCATCTTCCCTGAAGAAAAAATCATCCGTGCTGAAAATCAGGGCCCTGGGAAAGTCGTGTTGCAATTGTCTGGAAAGTGGGGAAATAAGATTATTTTATAACTATGCATTGTCATAATAGAAATTATTTCCTTCCATCTCTAACATTTAGCAGTTTATAATTATGAGACCACCAGGTTTTGAGTTGTTGAAATTCACTTAAAAAGACAGATGCTTATTATCTCTAGAAGGTACTACTCCTTAATAGGAGGCAGGAGAGGGGTAAGAGGCGGCTGTGTGTATTGCCCATCCTTGAAACTAAGAAGTGCTGGTCACTGCCACTTCTGCAGCAACCAGGACTGATTGTAGACGAAACTCTGGAGGCTCAGTTGAGGGCATGATAACAGTCTCTCCTCGTGGGCACCAGTCCTTGTGGGCACCACCACACCATTCTTCTGTGATGCCCCATGCCCTTCCCTGAGACCTGCCCGCTGGTGCCATGCCCCCATGCTGCAGCCCTTCCCTCTGCCCCCTAAACTCTCACCTGTCTTGGGTCCCATCTCCCTGGAGCTCTGTTCTCTGTAAGGACCCATATGAGAAAGTAGTTCTTGCTGAGGTATGAAATGTAGACAAAAGTGATGTGTGTGTGACCCCTACCTATTAGGTAACATGTTTACGTTTTAACAGTGACCTAAACCAAATGAAAGAAAAGCACAACAGCAGAAGGAAAGAGGTAGACCCAGCATTCCCAATGCCTTCCTAAACCTCTGTCAGTCTCTCTAAATATGAACATATTACAGAAAAAAGAAAAACCATTATGGAGTCCCCCCTTTAAAGCAAAAAAAAAAAGTTCTGCACAAAATAACTTCAAAGAGAAGATGTTTCTACTTGAAATCCTTACTCAGACTGTTTTTTGGGAGAAGATGGATATCATGCTAGGTAGTAAGTGGGTAAATCTCTCAGCCTCCTTTCCTCATCCGTAAAGATTGAGGAACCTAGCTATCTTGCTAGGTTATGATGACGATCTCATCACGTGGGAAAACACCGAACGCAGCACCTGACACAATGAGTGTACGTGTCTTCTCTTTTTCCTACAGACTCACGGGTGTAATTCTAACTTCAAAACAAATGCAACAGGCAAACAGAATACACGACCAAATGGCAAGGCTCAGAATAAAAAGATATTTAAAAGTTGGAAGAAAAAATATTGGAGAATGACAAGGGCGGGAAATACAAAGAGAAAGCAGAGCTATTCAACACTTTGTTGTTTGTTCTTCTCCATCAAGAATAATTATCTTCCATCAAGAAAGAAAAAATTAAACATAAAGCACCGGACCTGCAGATACTAAGCACCTAAGTTGCTCTGCAAACTTTGGTTCAATTCTTGACTCGTCACTATCCAGTCATGTGATCTGTTTCTCTAAGTTGTTTCCTTGACTGAAAAATATAAATAATAATCACTACTTATTAAACAGAGCTTCCAGTGAGGCTCAAATGAGGAAGGTAAGGGAAAACATTTTGCAAATGGTAAAGAACTTTACAAATGTAAAGTACTGTGATTTTATTAATAATAATAACAAATGAGGTCAAATTTGCCAACCCAGACTGCTTACATACCACAGTAGTAAAATACATCAGAGTGTGTACGTAATCTTGCAATTACTGCAAGTGAATTAGAGAGTATGCAGTCCATGAGGGAGAGATGAAAGACCAAAATAAGGCAAATGCCTCAATTTTCAAAAATGAGTAAACAGGGCCGGCCCCGTGGCTTAGCGGTTAAGTGCGCGCACTCCACTACTGATGGCCCGGGTTCGGATCCCCGGCACGCACCGACGTACCGCTTCTCTGGCCGTGCTGAGGTCGCGTCCCACATACAGCAACTAGAAGGATGTGCAGCTATGACATACAACTATCTACTGGGGCTTTGGGGGAAAAAAATAAATAAAAATTTTAAAAAAATGAGTAAACACATTCCAGAAAGAGTAAACAAATAAAAATCTCTGTCAAAATTCTTTGGAAGGCTTAATAGCATTTAAAAAGAAAGCAGCATGGATAGCTGAAAAAGTAATTCCGAATTAAATATATTTTCTTTTGGATGGGCTGTGGTGGTAAGCAGGGAAATTCAATGGACAGAATCTTAAATCCTGATATAAACAGGAATCTGACAGTCTCTCTTGATAGGCTTATGGGAAAATGTGGACCAGAAGATAATATATTTTAATACCCAAAGAATATTAGATAATTATCCAACTCATTAAACATTTATTGAGCACTCAACATCTGCCAAGTACTATATGAAGTGTTAAGGTACAAAGAGAGAGTAGCTGCTCTCAAGGAATTCACAGCCTAGCCCAGGAGCCAGACCCTACACAGCGGGCCTAACGCACAATGAAAGGAGCTGCACAAGAGATCCTCCAAGAACCTGAGGTCGGGAACAACATGTTCTGACAGCAAAGCACTGTCGAGGAGACCACGTCTGACTTGGACCTTGAGGGATGAGGACAACTCTGCCTCTTAGGGAAGGAGTTAAGAGCACTGGAGGTACGAGGAGGAAGCTAATGCTAAAGGGCGTGTGCAGAGCAAGGGGCTTTAGGGAAAGACAAGAACAAAGACACTATGGGTTAAACGTGGCACATTGTATTTGAAGCACTTTCGATTCTGAGTGCTACACAATTTAAAGAGAAATTTAGCAAGCTGGAATATGTGTGGAGAAGAGTGACCAGGTAAATATAAGGTCTGAAAACAACCATGTCAGATGAGCAAAATCATCGAAGGAATGTGGGGTGTTGAAGCTGAGAACAGATGATAAAAGTGATATATGTAGTTATCCTCAGATACTGGGGAGTCTATAAAGGGAATGAACTCATTCTGTGGGTCAGGAATTTGGGTTGGGCTCAGCTGAGCAGTTCTGCTGGTCTTGCCTGGGACCACGCATGCAGCCACAGGCGCCTGACCAGTGAGGGGCAGAGGGTCTAAGAGGCCCATCCACATGTTGGTGGTGCTGCCTGTCAGCTGGCTCTCCATCCACGTGCTCTCTCGTCCTCAAGGAGGCTAACCCAGGCCTCTTCACAAACCAGTATTTCAAGAGGGCAACAGTGGAAGCTGCTAGGCTTCCACCACATTCTATCTGTCAAAGCACATCACTATGCTGGCCCACATTGAAAGGGTAGGAAAACAAAGAATGGAAGAGGTAGCAAAGAAAATGTGGCCATTTTAAATCCACCACAGTTATAGGAAGTGACATGAAAGAAAAGTATAAAGAAGACTTGATGAAACAAATTTGCATAATTCCTTATAAATGCCTTTTATTTGACTTGAAAGATACTCAAACTGAAAAGCCCAAATCATAAATCCAAACTTGAACCTCCAATGCAAACAGTTATTGTAAAGACACCTTAGAAAAAATCTAAGGGCAGCACTAAATGCATTTTCAGGTATCTGTATTTTATATTTGTGAACACTTTTTAAATTATTTCCATCAATATTATCCAGTCTAAATAATAAAAGCTACGTTCAGACGTTAAATAATAGTGTATAACTTATTTTCCTTATCTTTTGTGTATTAAGTTAAACAACTGTGGATATTGGTTCTAAGATCCTTTGTTTTCTTTTTGGTCCAGATTTGATATCCCTTCTAAATGTGGTTTCACTGGTTTTCCTCTTAAGTCTGCCACTCATAGGTTTTGCTTGGATTTTTTACCAATTTCAGAGTTGAATTTTTCTTTTCATAAACATAGCCTTTTCTACTCTTGTTTTCCTCTTTATGGTTTATATTATCTATTGGAAATTAATACTCTCTAATGTTTCCTTTAAAAAAGCTTTAAGCAGGAGTATCCAATTCACATTTCATTTGAATTGTGTTCCCTTCTAGAAAACAAAAACAAAACACAACAAAAAAACTACTGCCCTTCTTGATGGCAAAATTTTACCTTAGAGTAAAAGTTAAATTGTTCAGGACCACTATGGGGCTGCTCGCCGTTCCTAAGACATATCCAAGTGCAGCCTACCTGCTCCTCCTAACAAACGGGCAGTCAAAAATATGCGTTTTTCACCTTTACAGCGTTACAGCTCTAATGGAATGTGGGGGGGATGGGGTGGGGATGATCTCCCTGAATGATCATTCCTTCAAAAACTTGTTTTATCTTCACCTGATGTTAAATTAGCACTGGCAGCCATGGTAGCATCTTGAATACGCAGGACAATAAAATCTCTCCTAAATAAAGAACTGATTCAACAGACAATCTTGAGATACCCAAACTTAAGTGGAAGCAATAAATACCATTCCATCAGCTTCAGAAGTGATGAGGATAATGCCCCAGCTCTAGCTTTCTTTATGGTGGTCAGGAGCCTCATGCATTAGGGAAATTGAGAGAATGAAAATAAAAGAAAAGGGAAAAAATAGAAAGACAATTACTTCCACATAATCTTCACCTCCCCAGCTTCCCCCCAAATTCACTTAAAATTGCTACTATGAGAGAAACTGAGGTACTAATCTTGATTTCACAACTTATCATTCGTCTGTGTGTTTATTTCATAATGGAGAACCGTGAAAATATATTTAGATATCTGTTAGTCACTCACTCACTGACAAAGTCCAGCTACGTAATTTTGAGTTGTACTCCCAACTTTTGATTACAGAAATTTTCAAATATGCAAAAGTAAACAGAATAATATAATCATTCCCCATGTACCCACAGCCCTGCTTCCACAATTATCATCATATGGCTAGTCTTGTTTCATCTGCTTCCTACTTCATTTCACCAAATATCTCATCAGTGTTCAAATTCCCCTGATTGTCTCATAAACGTATTCCTACCATTGGTTTGTTGGAATCAAGAGCCAACAAGATCCACACATTGCATTTGGTTGCCATGTCCCTTAAGCCTCATTTATTCTATACTTTTCCCTCTCCTTTTTATTTCCACCTGAACTTTTGTTTCCCCATCACCTTTTATATTAAGAAAATGCTCACGGGGCCGGCCCAGTGGCGTAGCGGTTAAGTGTACATGCTCCGCTGCTGGTAGCCCAGGTTTTGATCCCAGGCGTGCACCAACGCGCCGATCGTCAAGCCATGCTGTGGCGGCGTCCCAC